ATTCTTTACATTATAATAATAATAGTGTTATAAAACTATACATTAAAAATACAAATGATAATTATGAAGAATTCAATACTCAATGCATACATAATATATAAAGTTGGGGGTGTTTATATAAAATGCCATAAATATAATGATTAACTAATATAACATTGTTTGGGGAGAGTTTACTCGCTTGTAATGTCGAGAGGCACTACTTGCCAATATTCTTAGGGCACGACATTATCTTGTGCACTTGTGAGTTAACGCATTGAGTCCTGATGCAGCCTTGGTAGATAATCTAAGGCTCAATTTAATATAATTGAATAGTTGCTTTTATAGATTATCCACCGAGTTGCACCAGTTGGGGCAGTCAACAGGCAAGTATGGAATCTAAGGCTCAAAGTATAATAACGTTTGATTAATTGCTTTTATAGATTCCCTATCAGGCTGTGACTACCAATGCTCTCATATAATATAATAAATTTTTATAAACTGAACCTTACCTTGAAATGATAGAAGACAGGGTTGAGATAATATAACTTGTATTGCTTCAGTTGTTAATTGAAGAATATGGCAGAGGCTGGGTTATATAGCCCATTTTAGGACTTTTTAAAAACATACTTTCAGCCTTATCATCATTGAATGGATTTTCACTACACGTTGTTAAAGAGAATGAAACATCAGAACTATGTTATAAAGATAATATTATACGTTACACTACACCAGCAGTAAATAATATAGAGTGTAGTCAGGTTATAACTGGTCGTTATGTAAATATCAGTAATTTTCATACAAGCGAAGATGGAAGATTTTTAGTTTTATGTGAAGTTGAGATTTATGGTAAGCTTCATGTCTAGAAAAGTATCATGGTATTGCATTTCGATATCCCGCTTTTAGTAGTCCATTGTTCATGACAAAAGACAAGGCACTCCTATAAAATCAATTCCAAGCAACTGCACCAACTTTCGTTAATGTTGATAATATTTTGCACCCGTCCGACTAACCGAGCATTGAAACATGAAGTCAACGAAGTATCAATAAAAAGAGACTTCAATGAGGTATTTGAATCTTTCTTTTCATATTTTCTAATTAATTGCAGTATGTTCTAACGGAACGTATGGTCTTAATTGTACCAACTTCTGTCATTGTTTAAATAATGAAAGATGTTTAGAGAATGGTGAATGTCCTGGTATATGTGCTGATGGATGGACTGGAACAACTTGTAATCAAAGTAAAGGTTTTCTTTTTGTTATGTTACCAATAAGACATCAGGTTCAATCGATAAAAAAAAACCACTTCAAATATAGGTGAAATTGATTGCGATTGATCTAATTTCTTAAGACAGGCGTAAACAGTCGTCAAAAAATCGGTTATTGTTCGCAATGGGTTTTACACGTGAGAAACTTCTTTGTCCGAAAGATACGATACGTGAATCAATGAAACAAAAGTAGACCAGTTATGCGTGAACTCTGATGAACATCAGAAGCGTTATTATCTATTTCTCCTTTTATAGCTTGTAATAATGGTACGTATGGTACTGGATGTATAAAACTATGTTCAGATAGAAATTGTTCAGTAGAAACATCACCGTGTAATCATATCAATGGTAGTTGTCAAGGTGGATGTAAAGAAGGATTTGGTGGAATTGACTGTGTTAAAAGATGTGGAGATGGTGTTTATGGAGTAGGAGGTAGTAAGAAATGTTCATATAGAAAATGTAAAGATAGTAATTTACAATGTGAGAGTAAAACAGCAGAATGTATTGATGGACGTCAACCAGGATACCAATCGATAGATTGTACACATTATGTTTCATTAAGCCAAGATATGTTTACAGAATAATGCATTTCACTTCCATATGCAGAGTGAACGTCTGCAATCCAAAAGTGTTTTATTAGATTTCAGGGAAGGGAACGTTTTTGCTCTTTGGTTGCATTATTTAATAAAATGTCACCAAAAATAATATATTCTATATCAGAAAAAATCTGTTTTGGTGATCAAATCTTTTATCGTCTATTGGGTTCCTCGGGTTTCCACATTTAAATATCATCATTGATTTTCTTTGTATGTTATCCTATTTTTTAATCACACTAACTGTCAATCACACGATTTGTGCAGTTATTTGGATGGAGCTTGTGTCTGTTTAGATACATATCAGGGAATAGATTGTACTGTTGAAAAAGGGGCTGTAAGTTCGGGAAAAGGTGGTCCAGGTAAGAGCTAGAAAAAGAAATTCAAAAGATGTTTAATGTTTAAAGGACACACGTCTGCAGTTTCTGTAATTCTGGGAAACTTGATCAGATTATGACACCCCTATCCATATATCATTCAAGCCAAACGTTATGTCTAACTTTGATGTCATAATGTGTACAAGTTTTCGTTCTGGAATAACCGAAACCATCTGATGCAATATGGTGCAAATAGAAGCTGTAAATATTTCTGAAGAGGTGCGATAGTCTATCCAAAATCTATTGAATAAAGACATACTAAAAAGGCTGCAGCCAATGGATCACGAATTCAATACTAGGTTTGTCTGAAA